AAAGGCTTTGGTCTTCTACAATTAAAAATATAAGCATTAATTAATTAAAAGAAATGGTCTAAAGACACTGGAGGCTGACTGCTTTGTTGGTAGTTCAAATTTTTTTGCCTGGCCACAAGTATTGGCCGACATTTAAGTGCAGCTCAATCCACTCCCCCAACCTGGACACTCACCTGCCTTGATGGGTGTGTTGAGACCAAACAAGATGACACCTGTGTGGTGCACCACTTAATTAAAAACAGTGATCTGAATATTTGGAATGCAAGTGGAATTGGAAATCCTGCCACTAAATTCTGTGAAGTGAGACCTTCTATTTTTTTTTATTCTTTTGAAGGCTGGGCTTCTGTAAACGTTGGCAGCCTAGTAGTAGTAACACTAATTTTATTTCCACAGGCATTCCTCTGCCTTTTTGGATTCTCCAATTAAGAACTTGATGCTATCAAATGATATTTTCCCAAGCTCAACAGGAGCTCCCTTGTTTGAGTTTCCAACCATGGAATTAATTGCATATACCAAAAGCAAACCTACTTACCCGTCTGAAAGATGATAAACTCAAGCCTAAACCCTTTGATCCTCGTCTGTGGGCAGACCTGCAAATGCCCTGAGTGTGGAGGAATGTCACAGTTTGTTCACAAATCAGCAAGTCTTGTGAGCTGTGTCTGTGCTCTGCTGTTGGTGCAGCACTGAGAAACCAGATGACTTTTTCTCCAGAGCTGAGTGCCGAAGCTCCCATTGCAGCAGGTTTGACCTGCCAAGTTTTTTGCTGCATATGTTCCAAACAATATCGGCAATATTGTTCCTTTTTTTATCTTTTATACCAGCCATGTTTGGGGTATTTCATTTAGTCTTTTTTTTGGAATTGGCTGTTGCAGAGCAATATTAAGAGGTAAACTGTTAAAATTCTTATAACTAAAAATATCCAGTTTACTTTTTCATATTACATTATATGGACATTTCCTATCTTCCCACCTGAAAATGCTTTTACTTTCTATACCCATCCTCAAATCCTGATTTAAAATAGATCCTTCTTGCTTCATTATCAGTTTGCAGTAATGCGCCACACCTTAGATTGGTCTGCAAAGGCCTAAATTAAGCGGGTTATATATAAAATGACGTTGATATACAAAATGATACATACTAAACATGATGCACTTTCCTGCCAATGCAGTCTGACCTTTGAGCAACATGACTAAGGCTATATAGAGAGACTACACCTTCACTAACCATTTGAGTGGGGGTGTGCATGTATTTTCGTTTGGTTGTTTGTGCAATCAAGTGTAAAAGTATTTCAGCATCTTCTGCTGGGATAATTGTACACAGGGTGCCCAGAAAAAAAAAATAGATGTGCATTTGAAATTGTTCTGATAGTCTGAAATTTTCTGTCTACAAAACTGAGCTCATACTGGAATCCTCTGGGTTTGTGCACCTTAAAGTAATACGGGTGGTTGTTTCATTCCTGCTGTCTTTGAATGTGAGAGCAGATCTACCAAAGAATGAGCCAAGCAGCTTGTATTGTTGCCCCAAACAGGCTCTGGTTTTGTCAGATGACATTGCAGCATTTGCTTGCTTGTGTGGTGCCATATCTGAGCAGCCAGCGCACAGGGTGTTTTTCTTAAATAATTGAAATAAGGCTTAATGATTATTTCGCCCCTTACTGCTTCCTTTGATGTGAAGTGACTGTAAAGCTCTAACAAAACAGGGTCAGCCATCTGTCCTTTGGATGGTGGATGGTGTGTGCATTATTAGTGGGTGTCTCCAGAGGGGAATAAAACCCTACCACAAAAAACTCTGATCTCACGGTGTATGCCCCACAGCTCCTTTTAAATGAAATACTTGGAAAATGCAGGTCTTGCTAACCTATAGGAATTTGCATGCAGCTTTTACGTTAGGTTTTGTTTCCTCTGAAGATGTCTGACACCCGGAGGTTGTTCTGCCTTAGATCTGGGACTTGTATAGCAGAGTGATTGAGTAATGGTTAATAGTCCCTGCCACTAGTGCTAAGTGAGTCTGTATAATAGCTTGTCATTTCCAGAGTAAGTGTTTTACAACCATCTGGACTCCAGGCTAATGTTCCTGGCTTTTCTACAGCTGGGATCCACCCTCTCTGCACTCCTTATGTGCGAGAAGCCACGTGCTAAAAGCTGTTACCTCCCCCTGTGTTGCATTTTTTTGTGCATCATAAAAAAAATAGAAAGCCACAGTTAATTTAAATCCAGCATGTATTCTGTGGCCCTGTCTTCTTTTTGTACCAAAAAAGCATAAATCCCAGGCCAGTGGCTTTATCATCATGGTTAATGAGGCATTTTATAGTGGTTTTTTACTTACGATTAAATGTGCTATCAAACTGCATGTTTATTAGATATGCTCGTTTTTCTTTTAATGCTGTCAAAACTCATTTTTGTATCCTTCGGTTGCTGTATCCCTGCATTTAATTTCAGAGGTTTAAAAACAGCCCAGCCGTCTTAAGAGCCGAGCTCTGTTTGCAGTGACACGCTGTGCTCCGCTGAAATACCACTGGACATCGCGTTGTTCCCCTCTGTGGACTGAGAGCTGACCTCTGCGGCATGCTGGGACATTGGTCAGGTGTTTTTCAGAACCCAGGCTGCTGCTGCTGCTCATGTCTGACTTCCTCCTTTCCAGAACGACCACTCTCCCTGTGGGGAAACGTGCCTGCAGACCCCACTTAAAGCTGGACCATGCTCCTTCAGTCAGCCACAAAATGGAAACCATTTTGTGCTTAATTCGCAATTTGTAAAAGTGTGTGAAACCATCAATTAATTTTTGTTACCAATTTAATATCGGGGCTGAGAAGTTGGGACTGCAGTTCCCCATTAAATTCTTTCCAGAATCAGCGCTGTAGTAGGTTTGGGATCTGCCCCTGATCTTGGTTTTCGAGTGGAAGTCCGGTTGCCTTCCTGCTTGCTAGACTTTGATCCTCAGCCACAGTTAACGTTCCCGTTGAAGCATGCGTCACTCTTCATCTACACGTCTGTCATGTGAGTCGGCAGGGAGTTGGCTTTTTGTAGTACGCGGCAGCATATAACTTAATACTTGGACGACTCGCCACAGGTTTCTGTCCGCGGTCGGTCGTGTTGTTCACTCAGATCCCACTCCATCACATGCAGTTTTCTTTGAGGAGCTGAGGTACTTATAGACCAGTTCTCTAGAAGTAAAAATCTGATTTAATCATAAAAATGAGAATTTCAGGTTGCAAATAAAAGGTTTCATGTATTTCTTACAATCTGTTTTACTTTTGTGAAACTTTTTGTGTTCGGAATAAAACTTCCAGGATGTTGTGAGTCACTTCCTTAAACGATAGAAAACTGAGTTGTCAGGGGAAGTTAAACAAAAGAACCAGTGTTTTTTTTTATTCCCTTTGTGTACCAGAATACCAGATTTCAAACCATGTTTAGGTACTTTTTTGGTGGAAAAGGATTCTTAAACACAAGGCAGAATTTCCCTTGCATTTTTATGTCAGGCTCTTCAGAGAATTTGCATCTTAGTCAGATTGTTGAGAACAATATATGAGTGCTGGCTTGTGCTATACAGAGAGGATAAAGTGGGTCACCCTTGGATATGTTTTGACTCAACTGTAAATTGTAAAACATTGTCTAAATGTTAGGGTCTAAAGACTGCTTCATCTGAGGCAGTGATTAATCTTAAAATTGAGAATTGTGATTCTCTGCAGTGACTTTTGCAAGGGAACCTTGTTCTGCTGCTTAATTCATCATCCAGCAAAATAGTGTTTTTCAGAAGTTTGCAATGATAAGTTTCTCTTTTTTAAGTATTGCTATGACGTCTAAAATGTCAGGTGAAGGTTTTTGTCCTGTGCATGTGTTAGAAAGGTTTGTGGATACTGGATGTAAATTAAGTGCACTCCTCAAGTGATTTTGCTTATCCCAACAATTTTTAGATTCGTTCTCAGAATACTTTTATTTAAACCATATGGCACTTCTCTGCCTTGTGCTCAAATCTTTTGTATCTGAAAGATTGACACATTAAGCTAGCGACCAAAGTTGACCAATTTCTTTCTCTGTTTTCGATGACTGTTTTTTGCAGTTTCAGCCCTGCACCCAGAAAGATGCTTGTGAAAAAGTCTGTGTGGTTAATTGAATTAGCAGAACAAAGGGGTGGGCAGATCACTCATTTCTCTTATTTCACTGACGCCACTTAGAGCACCTGACACTCATCAGGGGTCATGGGTCATGAACTGGCCCAGTGAGCTGGATGATGTCATCAGGAAGTCAGCTGATTGGGTGGAAGAGTATGCTTTTGTTGGAAGCTTTTGTTAAGGTTTGATTGTTAAGGCCAGATCTCCAGGAATAACTGACACTGTTAAATTTTGGATAAGTGATTATTTATACACGGGAAATTAGAAACAGCCAACATTGAACCTTGAAGTAGTGTCCTCCCATCAAATGCATTTGTTGTTACTTTAGTAATATTAAAAATCACTCCTAACATTTTAAACAATGCACATCTGTTCTTTTAAGATTGAAGACTAATCTACTAGGACAGATGTTCACACTTGACCTGCGACTTTGAAAAGCAGGCAGTTTGTATGGCAAAACAGTATTGGGAGTGAGATGTCACACAATGAGTTTATGCACATCTTAAATTTAAAAAACAACTAAGTGAATTTCTTTGTCTCTAAGTTGTCCTTGGCTGTGAAAGGAAACAGTGATAAAGGCAGTTCTGCGAATGCTTTTCGTACAATGGATAGTTTTAACTTGGAGGGTCTTCAGAGGCTTCAGTTCCTTCTTTAAAGCGGTCCCTAAACTTTAAGCAGCCCTTGGTCAGGTCTACATCCTTGTAGTTTGAAATGGAAACAGTTTTGTCTTTTCATTTTGAAACCCTTGACTTGTTTCATGAAAGATGGTGTTCCATTTGGAGGCCAGTGTTTAATTTTTTTACTGATCTTCATTCTTTCAAATTTTGATATCGCCATTGTTTCCTTTGTGATGAGAAAAAGGCTAACTTCTTTCCTGTTTTCTTTGCAGACTGGAAGAATCGACAAAGCCTACCCTACAGTGTGTGGCCACACAGGTCCAGTTTTGGATATTGACTGGTGCCCACACAATGATCAAGTCATCGCCAGTGGGTCGGAGGATTGCACTGTGATGGTACAGAACTGTCTTCTCAATGTTTTCTTTCCCCTCTTTTGTTTCTTGGCTCAACGGTAAAGGTCACCTCATCTCTTTTATTTTCACAAACCAGCAAACATGACAGAAAGCACCTGTTTATGAATTGGTCTCTCTTTCTCAAAGACTGGTTTAATCCCACCCCTGAACCCACACGTAAAATGCTATGGTGTGCTCACCTGGAATGTAACAAGGTAGCAGAGGGTTGTGTTTGCCAAGTGCTGTAGAAACCTTCCCTTCAGATTTCAACCTACCTTGCAGCCATCGCTGTTTACTTGAAACAGAGAGACAGTGTCACTTTCTCTGGGATCGATTAGGCTGAGAAGAATGCAAGAGTAATTAAAAAGAAGTGATTCATGGGTTCTGTTGCGTTCATTCTGAGCGTGCTCCCTTATTTGGTCTTTTGGCTGTTAGACTAAGAATGGGTGTGTTCCACAAAACCACCGTTGGGCTCGCAGATTTAAGGGGCCTATTAAATAACCAGGCAAACAAAAGAAAATCTCATGTGCCTGTACTGTAGTTGGTTGTGGCTTTGAAGAATAGAGTTGGGATAGCTGGTTTATAGCCACTGGGTGGATCAGTCCTTGTCTGTTGGGGTGATAGCCACAGCCCTCCTGCCCAAACAGAAATTGTCCTGAATTACTCTGAGGGGCTCATGGGACATGGGAAATCTGCTCCCTTTATTTTGACCACAGTAGGGTTTGTTAGACAAAGCTCAGAGTGAAGCATATGTCCCAGCCAAGTGAAAAGGTTTGTTTTTGTATTTATGAATATTGACCAAGATACTCCTTTAACTTCTTTCTCTCCGATGCCCTGTTGCAATCTTAATTTGCCTCTTGACGTTGGCTTACACCCTTAAGCTCTACAACCTTGCTTCTGTTGTGTGGCAGAGGAGTCCTCATTGTTTCTGTTGCTAGTGATGTGTATAAAAGTAACATTTGAACCCTTACTTGTGTCAGAGGAGTAATGTGGCAGTGATTTAAATAGAGAAATGTTCTGCATTATGGAAACCTGAGTGGATACAAAAGAATAAATCTTCCTCCACAGTCATTCTTCCTGCACAAGAATTTCAGAAATATTTCCATTACGATCAATTGCGGTTGATCTGTAATCAAGAGAACTCCAAAAGGATAATTTTAAACCAGATAACCCAGGCAGTTCAGTTTCACTTGAACAAAATAGGAGAACTGTGGACTTCCTATTTTGTACAGTAAGAACAAGATCCTTTTGTCTTGCATAACTTCTCAAAAAAATAATGAAGCAGGTGGAAAAGATACGTGTTTCAAATACATTTGTTTCACAAAGTGAAGTCTGTGTGTTTAAGTAGCTCTTTGTTGCCATCTGTAGTTTTCCAAGTAGAATTGAAGTAATCCTAACATCACCTCAAACAAATTTCTGAGGCTGGGCTTTCCAACACAATTCTGGTATGACCTAGTCTTTTGATTTTTATTCCAACCTGAATCTTTAAAAATTAAAAAATTCATTTCTTAAAGGTTAGAAGTATTCCAATTACAGTGGACTCCACTGTAAGTGGTTGCAAGTCAATTTACTTGGACTTTTTTTACATTTTATTGTTTCAATAAGGAATCAATGTTTTTAACGGGGAGTTCTTGCCATTGATTAACAAAACACTCAGTGCCAAAGTGAAAACCAAATTCAACACTTCTCCTAAATTATATTAACAGTAAAATAATAATAATAATTGCTTACACTTATATAGTGCTTTTCTGGACACTCCACCCAAAGCAAAATAACCCATTGCATAAGTATTCACCCCCATTGAGTCAATATTTGGGTCATTGTCCTATTTGAAGATGAATCTTCTCCCAAGTCCTGTGTCTCTTGCAGACTGCAGCAGGTTTTCCTCTAGAATTTCTCTGTTTGCTGCATCCATTTTTCCTTCTGTCTTCACAAGTCTTCCAGACCCCGATGCAGCGAAGCATCACCATGGCATGATGCTGCCACCAGCATGCTTCACAGTAGAGATGGTATTCTTACGATGTTCATTGTTAAACTTGTGCCAAACATAACACTTAATGTCGAGGCCAAAAGGGTCAATATTGGTGTCGTCAGACCACAGTCTCTCAAATGCCGTCTGGCAAAGTATAAGTGTAATTTTTATTTTGGTGGGATCTGTACTAATCAACTGTGGGACCTCCCAGAGATGGGTATGTTTAACCTGAGCTCATATGAAACACCCCAATTCCACACAGGTGGACTCGATTCAACAAATTGTGAGTTCTCAAGACATTTGGTTGCACCAGAGCCTAGTTGTGTGTCATAGATAAAGGGGGGTGAATACTTATGCAATGTCAATTTGACATCATACTATTTTGTGTTTATCAATGGCAAAAAATCCCAAGTACATTGTGATACTTTATCGTAACACAGTAAAATGGGGGTGGGATGAATACTTTTGATTGCCACCATAAGAAATAATTAGATCCACTGCTTACAGAGCTCTCGGGGAGGAATAACCAGAAGCAAGGACATCCAGGAAACTATCTGTGACCTTGGCTCCAAGATCAGCAGTTTTAATCCATAATGCAACATAATCGTTTTCTGCCCAGAAATCAGGACAAATTTATACATACAAGTGAATTTGTCATTAAAAGCTGAGAGAGCTCACTGTTGCATTGTAAGATTTTTAACTTTTTCTAATGTGCAGCATCAATTTAAATTTTTTCTGTTAGTGAAGAACTAGTCGTCTTACATGCAAATACTGCATTTGATTGCTAATTTATTTTAAATTCCCTGCAGAAAATAGTTTACCAGTTGTAAAACTACCCAAAAGCAAAAAAAAAAAACTACTCCGTTGTACTGCTCAGTTGTTGTCAGACGGGTTCTCAGTTGGCATTCTTCTGTTACAGGTATGGCAGATTCCTGAGAATGGGTTGACCAGCCCCCTCTCCGAGCCTGTCGTGGTCCTGGAAGGTCATTCCAAGAGAGTGGGCATTGTGATGTGGCACCCTACGGCTCGCAATGTGCTGCTCAGTGCTGGTGGGTCTTTGGTATTGCCGCCAATGTGTGGGCCCTGACCTGACACTCCGAACCAGGGGGCTCCAACTCCGCTCGTGCAGGGCCTGGTCTCTTCTCGGCAATTAAATCCTAAACAGTCAGACTTCCTCATTAGACGACTAGATTTTGTTTTAAAGCTTGGTGCAGTTCATAACACAAGACAGTCACTCCATCAAAAGTAACGTTGCCTGTGGTTGCACCTCAGAGCCTGGTTAGATGTTGTGCAGGTATGTACACCAGATAATGTAACTGAAAACATGTCTTGAACAAAAACCTTTGTTTTCGTGAATTTATCATTTTTAAAAAAAAAGTCTCGTGACTTTTCCAAAATTCAACAGTACACCCATGAATTTTAACAGGCACGCTGGTTGAGAAACACTGCCTCAGAACATAATGATTACAAACAAGGAGGCCATTTGGGCCGTTAAAGGCTGTTAAATGGGTAGACGGTTAATTGATCAAGGGATCTCATTCAGCCATTTCTTAAATGAAGCCGGGGTGTTGCTTCGTTATACCTCCTAGTTTATTGACTTCGCCGTGCCATGGAGGATTTTGGTTGGTTGTCTCAGGTTGCCTCATTGTCTTTTGTGTTCAAGGCTAACAAGGTTGAGCTTTTTTCAGCTTGCCAGTGCAGGACGTTCCTTTAAGCCCTGGAATTAGATATGTTGGCTCTTCTCTAGACCGATTCCAGAGCTGCTCTGTCTGTTCTATAATGTGGTGACCAGGAGTTACTGTTGCTGTATCTCAGGCTGTGACAACACGATCATCATTTGGAATGTGGGCACGGGAGACGCCATGATCCAGCTGGAGGACATGCACACGGACATGATCTACAGTGTGTGCTGGAACCGAAACGGCAGCCTCCTCTGCACAGCCTGCAAGGACAAGAAAATCCGGGTCATCGATCCACGCAAGGAGGAGATCATTGCGGTGAGTCCTGCGTTCGGCTTTTTATTCCATGCAGTGTTAACTGTATTTGCTCTGCCATAGAAATCAGGCTTCCGGATATCAATTGACAGGGGATTATTGGCGAGGAACTCTTTTTGAGTTGATGGTCACATGTGCGCTTAGTCTCCGAATTTAATTCTCTGGCATGACCCATGCAGCCCACAGAAACGGCAGACGATCCCCCTATTTCTGAAGGTAGGCCCCTCTCCCCATGGGGTTTAACATGGGCAGTGCATCACAGTATCATTCATCTGCGACACGATTCATGCTGCATTGTAGCCTATTGATGTGCAGCTGCTGCAAAATGAGTTTCAGGTTCTAATGCTTACACCATGGGATAGGGGTTGCTTTATGTAGTTGCACGTGAAGTGAAGTAGCAGCAGAGGTTTGGGATCATTCATCTCAGTGTCAAACGATAAATTAGTGTTTGGGACCGTACCCTGTTCCTCTTCTAATTGTTGTGCATCATGCCTGTGTGCTGCAGGAGAAGGACAAAGCCCATGAAGGTGCTCGCCCTATAAGAGCCATCTTCCTGGCTGATGGCAATATCTTCACCACAGGCTTCAGCCGCATGAGTGAGCGACAGCTCGCTCTCTGGAACCCGGTGAGTTTCTTACGGAATGGCAGACATACCTCAGATTCAGCTGGTTCCAGTATTAAATATCTCTCGCTGGACTGGGATTTACTTTAGAGCTGACAGTTCTTTGTAACTGCATAAGTCGCCAGGAAACAATGTAACATACCATTCCATGTTTTTGTTTGCCCTCCCTCACAGCAAAACATGGATGAACCGATTTCGGTGCATGAAATGGATACCAGTAATGGAGTTCTCCTGCCTTTCTACGATCCCGACACCAATGTGGTGTATTTGTGTGGAAAGGTAAGGAGCTCCCCCATGTGGCAGGGCAGTATCCTGCACCTAAATATCATACCTTTGAAACTTCGCATCTGCTTTCCTTTCATTTCAGAGTTCAGTTGATTTTAGACAAGAGAAATGGACCTTCACTAAATGCAATGGCTTTCTGTGCCTGACTAGTTGTAAGGGAGATGCAAGAAGTTATCGCTATCCTGCCACAAAAATTCATTAAATGATGAGACATTTGTGATTCCACTGGCACCAAGCGTTGTTTTGTAATATTCCAAATGATTTATTTGCTACATTTGTTCACTTTGTTCTTGTGAACACCAAAAAACGTACTCATTTTAAATTGTAATAGTGCTCCGAAGGTAGTCAGCACTTTGAAATTCTTCTCTCGTGACTAACGGCTACATGTTTTGGTTCAAAATAAGTGATGTGAAATGATCAGGTACCTATAACTGCTAACTTTTTGGTACTTTGATTGCAAAGTCAAAAAGCACTACATATAAAATT